CCGGGGGCTCGGGGGCTATACCCATTGGGTACGCTCGCGTGCACCATTGGGTCAAGGGATCAGGCCGAGCCCGAGCAAGCCTGACACCTCTGCTCGACGCTTGGGGCTCGCCTAAGCCTAGGGCTCTCGATCAACGGAAGCTTGGACACCGATCCTTGGCCTCCGCCTGCCCTTAGGCGCCAGCCAAGGCCCAGGCACAAGAAGACACACCCCGAGCCACCAAGGCTTGGGGGCTCCCCGGCGTTGTTGTTGGCGTTTCTTAGCGCAATCAGTAGGATTGGTGTTTCCCAGCAATAGCACCAGAAACACCATGATGATATTTCTGAACACATGCAGAAATATTTCGCAAGCGCACGGATATATCGTTGTAGCATTTCACTCGGAAGTATTTGGGTATTGTCTTATATTTTCCCAAAGGAAGCCATGGTGTAAAAGTATCTAGTAGGGACATGGCAAAGATAACATGACTGTATAATAGACCAAAGTTCATAACAGGGGTAAGCCATGATAAATGTTGGATAGTGTGACACGCACACTCAAGCCAATCTCAAGGGTAAAGATAAAAGAAAGAATAAATAATAAAAGAATAAACCTAAACAATAAACCTAAACTAGAGCAGGCTTATCTTGTATAGCTATGCTAATATTAGCAGATCATACAAATACATGAATTTCTAATGGTAGAGATCCTAAGTTAAGATAGCTTTGGTCACTATAAACTTACTTCAGGAACCGTTGAACACTGGTCTGCCGAGTGTTGCCGGCCTATAGCTCTACGTCGTATCTGAACATGGGGGAGTGCTAGGGACGAACAGGGCTGTCACCACCTGCCGCCTACCCCACCACCGTGGGATATGAAGCAAACAAAGGTAACGTGTAGCTTAGACACCATGTCTACGCTAACCACTACTACTCTAACATTGGCCAGGAACATCTGTCTTTATCAGGAGTAATCTACTAGAGCATCCGCCTCAGGGACGGACGACGAACCCGCAACTAATCTTAAAGTAGAACCTACTACCTCAATTTAGGTCTTGGTCTAAACATGTATGTTGTATGAAAGATTAAGCATAAAGTTTTATATGCTAAATGAATAACATAAGAACTTTGCTCTAATTTTATAACATAGCTATAATGATAGGATAAGAACAAGAACAAGATGAAGAACATGACATGAATCACAATGAAGAACATTGCATTGATCATACCAAATATCTTCAAGATGCTATTGATCTCCAACTACAAGCTTGCCAAGCTCCTCATAAAACTACTAAAAGGTAAAAAGATAAAGTAGAGGGAGAGTGGCTCAAATGTGGTGTGTGTTGTGTGAGAGCTCCACCCCTATATTTATACATGAGTGAGGTCGGTTTGGGTGTAGACAAATTAGGAAACCGCCTTGCACCATCATTGCATGCCACCATGCAACCGCCAGAGAAGAACAGGGCTGAGCGGGCTTGGGGGCGGTGCGGCCGCACCCAGGCTGGCTCGTCTCACCACCGCCTTGCTCTGGCGGGTTCCTAGCTGGGCCTAGGTGGCTCCCACGTCAGTGCTCGGCCCTAGTTTGGCATTTGAATGGGCCTTTGCTTATTTTCTTTGTGCAAGATCTGCTTTACGCTTTCTCTGATTGCGCATTTTGACTCTAATTCCATTGTATCCAAGTATGAGTGCTACAAAATAGAAATCTTGCAATACAAGTGGAACTATGTCAATAGTAAAGGCATATGTGTCAAAAGATTGTTTATTTATCCTGTTTTGGACTATAATTGGTGGTCGGATTTGGTCATTGTGACCGCCAACAGTTGCTCCTTAGGCGTGGCTGTGCCAACCGCTCCTCCGACAGGGTCATGCATGGGGCGTGACACAAGAAGACAAGATCCTCCATGGCCTCTAGGGGATCGGGGGCTCCCAAGCCCACGCGTCAACCCCTCGAGCCGGCCTCCTTCACCACCTAGAAGCCTCCAGAAGGCGCACCTAGGGGAGGCCAGTCCAAGCCGACATAGCCTGGCACTCAGCGTGTCAGGGCAGAGCAGCCGGACGACGCCCAGAGCTTCTTTGGCTCTACGACATCGCCATGGTCCATAGAGCGTCGCTGCAAGACCATCCTAGACTCCGGCGCATGTAGACATAGGCTCAACCCCACAAACCACCATGTACCCGACTTATCTCTGTATATAAGCGATAGGTCAGATCCTAGAGGGGGGACGATCCGAAACAGATCATTCTATTCCTCACCGATCCGCTCCTGCTCGGCACCGAGAGCAGAGCAACCTAGAGAGGGGCACCGAGAGCTCCTCCACCGCACCCGTCGTCTTCTCCTCTCCGACGAGGGGAAGGCTCCACCGGCGATGAGGCGACCTCAGGATTAGCACCAAGCTATCCCCCTACCAAATCTCTCTCTTTCTCTTATATAACTCTGTTGTAACCCCCGATTTTGGGTGCTCTTGAGTATAAGGATCATCAGCTGCTAGACGTAGGGCATCGATTGGCCTGAATCAGGATAAACCGTTACGTCCCCTCTATGATTCTTATGTTCTTGAGTCCACCCGAACCACCAGAGACACGTACTCTGACACCACCTCGAACAACAATGCTTGTCGCGGTTTCGACCCTGCGACAGCAGTCACTGAGGCGGGAACAATTAGCTTGGAGATGCATAATGGAACACATTTCGCGTTGATGGGAGTTTGGTATATACTAGGCTTGAAAAAAAAATATAATATATGTGAGGTCTCTAGAACTCCAAGGTTGTGGCTTATCATTTCTAGGTGGGCTCATGCGAGTTACTTGCAAAGACCAGATAATTATGAAAAGTATCTAGATTAATGGAGGATACCGAGTGATAGGAAACCTTATGGGTGGTGCAACCATGGAGAGAATTGGTAAAAAACCCGATCAGGTGAAGGAAGTCATCATGTCAACAACAGGTACTCAAATCTCAATTGAGGTCAAGCGCAAGGCTGCAAAGACGGTTGCAAATCTATCAGTCATAGTGGTGAAGCTGCGAGTTGTTGCAAGAAGGAAGACGTGGTGATACCGACCATGCAGTACTAGTGAGCACGTGGAGCTCAGGGGGAGAGTACAAACTTAGAAGGTGGAGTGGTTAACCAAACTACACAACGAAGGAGCTCTCAAGGCGGAAGGTTCAGACACTCCAACCTAGACACTGACACGCATATTGTGGCGATGTGCATGAGCCCCTATGGTGGGGCCACTCTCAAGGTAGAGTGTAAATAAATAAAAGGGAGCGGACTTGGAGTGAATTCTTGGAGGGCACGGTTACTTCAAAGGATTAGAGTCAAGTTAGTTGGAGATTGTTGTATGGTGACTCAAATGCTATTTGGACTAGGATTGAAGAGAAGTGTGTTATTAGGACTTCTAGTTATATTAGGACTTGACTGTAGAGCCCTATTAGGAATAGGAATCCTACATGTATGGGAGTTCTATTGCACTAGATCCTTGTATATGGCAAAAAACACGGGGGTCCTAGAGGGTCCAATAGCGTCGTGGGAGGGCAAGAATCACTTATACTCTTTTGGAGTTATACTCATAGAATTTGGAGTCGACTTCGTTAAATCCAATCTCTTGTCATGGTTGCTTCAACATCGTCATCTAGAGTTTTCTACGAGGTTCATCTCGTTCTTAATATAGTGAAAGCTTGTGTCACACTATCCTTTTAAAGATCCAAAAGCTACTGTGTATAGGTGTCAGATTCTAACATCTAGGAATACCCGGTTGGCACAGGGTCCTGACCGTAGCCAATCTTGGAGATTGTATATGTGGCTTTGCTATCCCTACATAAGATGCGATGGATTTCAAGGGCGTTGAATTTTTCTTCAAGCTTGTGGATTTCCTAGCAATGCGCTTCTATCTTGATATCTCTGGCAAGTCGATTCCTTCATTATTTGATTGACTTTTTTTTTCTCGAACAATTATTTGATTCACTACTAACTTGGAATCTTGTATGATGTAGAGGTGGCGGAGTGATATGACAATCAGTAGGCCGTGCAGCAAGGCCTCTAATGATTAATTAATAATCTGTTGCGGGCCTCAACTTTCAGATTCTCATTTCTTCAAGCGTGCCTCTCACCAACACAATTATCAAACGAAATCATCTTCACTTCAGAAATACAGATAGTACAGTGGAATAGTTTAGAAGAACATGATAGCACACTTGAAAGTGGAAAGAATGAATTTGGAGACGATGAAAAAGGCAGCATGATTCATAAGAGAGCATGACAAAGAAAGCGTCTAAATGCAAAGTATATTTCATGGATTGCAGCACAAGCCCAAACTAGCAGAAAAACTTGGTCCACATCGACACCTTGTCCTCTTTATTTCACACATCAGGGAATATATAGTCATCTTCATTGTAGTCTGGCAAGCGAATCTAGAAAATGACGAAAATTTACAAATGACTATCCACCTGCAGAACCAAAATGTCCATCACAACACAATCATGCCTCATCTTTTTATGGAAGTACCAGCAACATTTTTCTGTAGGGATGGCAATGAATGGTGCTTGCTTGATCACCACCAAGCAGTTTTTGTTGTCTCATGTCTTTAATTGCCGTTGCTGTTACTTGATGAGCACAGTAACATAAAGTGAACAAAAATGATTTTGTTTCAATCATACAGAGCACATTTCACAAACCCTTCCACGTTCCATACATTTAAAAATCACTTGCAGAACTGTGCACCTAAAAACAGTGAGATGAAAAGCAGATATGGTTGATTAAACCCCAAAAGACAGGAGACTCTTGACAATACCGATAAGGCGGTAAGTATCAAATGTAGAATAGTAGTTATTTATTTCAGATTTTCTTAAGATAGAATGCAACTTTTGTCCCGTTTTTTGAACAGATACTTATAGAGGCAGCCTTGTTTAGGATACCCTTTCTGAACAGTAGAATGGCTAGACATTAGATGAGAAGGAAATGTGAAGGGCAGTAAAACATACCGCAATGGTGATCCGAAAAGGATCAGAATCTCTGTCATGTATATTCAAGATTCCACCGTGATGTTGCTAGCAATGGAAGATTCAGTCATCAATCCATTAGGTAGCATATGGGTTTCAGCTCCATTTTTATTTGCCCATGACTCTGCAGAACCTTGTATAGAAGCACCCTCAGTTGAATCAAGTGCATTAAGCAAAATAACTTTTGGTCTGTTGGGATGATTCGCAGCCGCATCTTGCCAGTTTTGTATTGTAGTACTGTTGACTTGAACTCCAGCATCAAGAATTACTTCCCTCAGGTGTGTGAAGTAATTAATTTGTAGACCAGAAAGTCCATTTAGACCATCACAGAGCAGCTGAAGCGATTTGAGTATTGGCATAGCACCACGTTCCATTGTTGGGAGTGTTGGACTTTTCAGGACAAAACGTATGCAGACAAGAGATGGCAAAGCATTGCGCTGGAGGACAAAATCATCAAGTTCGCCAGCGATGAGCTTCAGGTACCTTAAGTCTTTAAGAGTACCCAATGCTGTGAGAAGAGCTGCCTTCAGTTTAGTTGATTGAAGGCACAACTCCTTGAGACAACGCAGTCTGGTAATAAATCGGGGCAGTTCCTCTAACATACCATTTAGTTTCAACGACCTAAGATAGCATTCACCTTCCAAGCCTTTTAGAAAGTCTTCTGAGCATGCATCGAATTGGATTGACAGAGAACGACGGTCCTTTGTTGCATCTTTCTCATCACGAATGAACTCTTGTATGGCCTTCTGAAGACTAGTCAGGCTAGTATTGGTCGCAGATGATTCGCACCAGATCTTGACGTTGTGCAATTTCTTCATACGACCCAAAAATGCATCATACCCTACGCGTTCGTCGATAATAAATCCTTTAACCATCTGCAACTTACATTGTTCTGAAGGTATAGCTTTGTCAGGAAGCTTAAACTTTCCAAAAAGATGAGTTAAATGGGGCAACTGGAAAACTTCCTTTGGCAGGATGTTTATCGCCGTTCTCCTTAGATCAAGTGTCTCCAAAAGTTTCAGATTTTCTATCTTCTTTGGAAGGCTGGTTACATGTACATCGCCCCCCAGGCTAAGATATTTAAGAAGCAGTAGGTTGCATACTTTTTTGACATGATGATTTTGCAAGTCAGTACATTCTTCAAGATCCAAGACTCTCAGCAGTTGGTACCTGTCAAAATTCAACATAGATCCTGCCTTCCCGAAGACTATCAGAGTTCTGACAAGAGATAGATCACTGTCCAAACTGCTACTATCTGATATACTGCTGTCTTGAAGAGAAAGGCAACGATGTTGTGTAGTTTGGAAATTCCCATTATTTTTAGAGTTCTGATAATTGCCATTATCACACAACATAATGAGGTTTTCAGAGAGAGATTTGAGCATTACGTACTCATGCATCATGCCATATGTTCTGCATGTCTTCACTGTCTTGTTATTGCTAACCTCAATGGGATGGACAATGCTTCGATCCAGGAGCTCCTCGAAACATTTGTCAGCTGTATCACCCCATGAATTTTCTGGTTCTACAAACCCCTCAGCTAACCATTGCCTCATTATCCTTTGGGGCTTGACTCGATGATCACTCGGGAACATAGCAAAATATAGCAAGCAAGCTTTGATAGCACAGCTTGGTAAGCTGGTGTACTCATGCATAAGCGCCTGATGCACTCTGTCTAAGGATTTGTCGCTCCCCAGATGACAACGTAGCTGGTTGCAAATACCATCCCAGTCAGGTCCTTCCATCAAACTTCTTTTTTGCATGAATTTGCCTACAGTACTCAGTGCAAGCGGTTGACCATCACATATTTTCAATATTGCTTTTGAATCTGACAGTGAGGAATCCGAATATTTCTCCAGATCAGCTGCCTTTAGTAACAATTGCTTTGAGTGATCATCACTAAGTTTGCCCATATTGTACACGTAGTCGTTGGGAAGGCTGCAGAATTTAGCTACACCCTGGATTTTTGTTGTTACCACTATTGTGGTGTTAATATCTCGCCGGAAGGCTTTGATAGCATCCCACTGTTCTGTTGATTGCATGCCATCAATTACAATGAAGTACCTTTTTTTTTTTTTTTGAAACGGCGATAGCAAAAATATTAGAAAGCTATTCCACAACCAGCATAAGAATCACTATGTGGGGAAAAAGGTAAGACTTCTTATTGGACTGCATATATATAACATGTTTTGCTGGGCATTTGCATAACCTATATACATGTATTTACAAGTAACAAAATAATGGATTTTTTTGGGTACGAATTAGCCATACATAGGTGCAGAGAAATCCATATTTTATAGGCACTAGAAAAGTTGTGCATGATCATCACGTAAAAAAGTTTTATAGCTATCCTAGGGTGTAATACCGTGGCCTGCAATAGCAGTTGGCCCATGTAGCTAATGTGCAGGTGTAGTTGGTGGGTTTAATATCACACTTTGGAGATTTAGGTGAATAAGTGCTAACTTATAATCTTTATTATCGCTCCAAAGTTAACACCTCTATAACGACCCTTTACATAAAGCGAGGGCCACGCAAGGAACTGTAAGCAAATTTTAGACACGGGGAATTAATTACATAATAGGGCTTCATATCAGACTTGATTGCCGCCATGGTGCAGGTTGACGGTGAGACCATTTGGCATATTTTTAAACTTCAAACTAAAATGCATTTTGTCTCTCAGCAAGTGTCCATTATGGAAAAGAATTGAATCATTATGTCATTTACAACTGTGATAAAACAAGTTCCATTCTGAACATATCCTGGACTTTCAGAAAATTTGTCAATTTTAATATGCTTCTAGAAACTACAACTAACCAAAATTATATATCTTTGAGATCCCTCTGTCTATTTATTTTCTAATAACACAGTACCCATATACTCCCTCTATCCCTCAGAAAACTATCTTACGGTTCAAAATTTGTCCTATAAAAATTGCCATTCTACCCACAAAACGGCTGTGGCCCCATATGAATTAATTTCTTCCTTCACATCTCCTTTCTTTTGTGGCGCCGAAGTGTGCATGGTGCCAACTAAGTGTCACCTGATTGTCATTCTGGTTGATTATATTACCTAAGCGTCAAACGAAAGAAAAAGAAAAGGAAACTATGGCTAATAGACAGGGGCACCCGAGGTCATATCGCCTCTTAGATAAAGTGGGTGTTTTTGTCACCGGCAACTATTGTGGGGCGTTGTGCAAGTAGCAAATCTAGATGAAGCACATAGGACACATGTTTATATTGGTTCAGGCAGAGAATGCTCTAGGACTATTAGGATTGGTTTCTTAGTCCTATTACAATAAGGATCTCAATAGATAGTTGAAGGTATATGTCTATGCCATGTATAGCATGTCGGTTGACATACCCCATGTACATGTAGGACTCCGGGAAGTCAACTTGCCCCAATCTTTGTCTAGAGGGCTGGATTTGTCCTCCATAGCCCCCAAGGCCTGAGTGATCAAACTGAACTAGTCTTGATGTTGTCCCGACCTTAGCTATGTGCTTTAGTCTCCTCCCTTTGACAAGTATCCCGAGTTATGTCCTCCTAGGTGCTTCTCTTCATTACTTGCACAGAGGTCACAAGGGACTTAGCGAGTACCTGAAGAAAAGATTAGTTGAGTAATATATGCTCATGGGGCAGGCATATTTCACTAAGTGAGCTAATATGGTTTAGTCAGAGTGGTATGTTCCAGCAGATGGTCACCTGGCTAGTGACCTAGCAGGCTACCATTAATTTTGACTTAATTTGCATATGGTGCCTATTTTCCCCAAGTCGTTCGAGGTTAGCTAGTGTCCTTGTGGAGGAATATATGCCCTCGTAATTTATGTTAGAACACGACAATAGTCTGAAATGTTTGTCCTGGATGGATCAAGTGACTAACTAGTGGCCCACTAATGGAATATTACAAATTTCCTTCACTTTGGGTGTATCCATGTGTTTGGGAACCTGGTTGGTAGTCACCATCAAAACTTTAAGTCAAAACAGGTACCGAAGCTGAAGCATTGCACCGCATGGTACTATTTGCCTTTTATAGGGGAGATGATACAGTACCGTTCGTTTGGCTGATAAGCCATGGCTGAAAGTATTGTTGGCTGATTTGTTGTGAGAGAAAAATATTGTTCGTTCGCTGAAAAAGTACGGCCTATAAGACAAGCGAACAGGACCACAAATCATCTTCTTCTTGCCCATGCTCTTTCAACTTCTCTTGCTTTTCTTGCCCGTGTGGTTCTAGCGTGAGCCCAAGTGCTTCAGCATTTGAGTGCTTCAATCTTGAGTGCTTTGAGTTTTCATTTCGCCGTGGGTGCTTCATGTCGTCAAGCCTCAAGTGTCGGTGCTCGAGGTATAGCCCCCAAGGCTCTACCCAATTGATTGATTCAATTAGAGGGTCTTGTGGTTCTTGTAACTTTTTCTATCATGGATGTGTGGACAAAATGCACTCACTAGGTCTATCCACCAAGCTCCCGCTCAATTTTAGCATAATTAGATGGACTGCCATTTAACTTTCGAGTAGCTTATGACAATGAAAGTGTGAGGAACTTATGTATAAGCCTTTACTCTTCCAAAAGATAGTGAACCCTAAGTGATTCATGGTTATTGATCATCCCTCATGGGGTGCACCGAATGTCTTTTAGCGTCGAGTCGAAAGTTGGCCCTCATGGAGGGTGACAAGCTGTCCTCCATTTGATGTGAGATCACAGGTCAGCCATTAGGTGGCATGTCGAGTGGTTTCTTTGGCCAAATAGGTACCCGAACACTATGTTGGTGCAGAATTAGGCTAGTGTCCCTAGGGCATACCCAACTTGGTGAAGAGGTAACCGAGGTTCGATTAGCAACAGTGGTTGGCTAGAGGCCCAACATGGAGCATATCAAATGGCATACCTTTAGGTGGACCCTTGCTCAAAAATGAACCATTGAAGATCTTGGAGCTTTGTTGCTTGGATACTTTTGTTGATGAATGCACATGACTAGAGAAGGCCCTTCAATTAAGCACCCAAGTTGACTAGTTCAGTCCCCATTTATAGGGAGGTAGCTTTGGGCTATGTCATGTGTAGCGTTGGGTGGCTAGAGTTTTACCGTTTGACAACACATGGTTTCACTACTCATGCACTCTCTCAAATTGAAGTGTATGAAACATGAGACACTATTGGATACTTATAGCATTCTGACTAAGTCAAAGTAGATACAGATTTCCCTTTCTAGGTTGTTCAATGTGTCATGCACTTTGAGCAAACTTGAGCTCCCATGCGTAAGGAGCTACTTGTGGGTTGTGTCTTTGGGTTGCAGAGTAAGTCAGAGTCAGGAACAAAGACTCACACTCAGAGTGTCTGTCACTCAGAAAACATAAGCAGGTTTTATGTTTGTTTCTTTCTCTCCTTGATGTTGTTTTCCCTTTGTGAGTCATCCGTTGTATCATGCACTTTGCCAACTCTACATTGTAGTCTTCATGACTAGATAATTAGTGTTTCAATTTAATTTATCCCAAATGACTTGCACCAACACCAAGTGTAACAATCATAATATGTATTCTAAAATGTTGTTGTATAGATTTGCATAATGAGATGAAAAATAGTTGCTAGTGATAGCTGAGTAGTAGTGGGACTATCACAGATGGGAAAATAGTTGGAGTTTCCTTCTAGAAATTCTTGTTTGTTTCAAAGGGCATTCGAATAGTAATAGTAAGATTCTAGTAGTTCAAACATAGTATTTCAACCAGCTTGGTTAAAAGTTCGGTAAGCCCAATCCATTGTTCTAAAGATGACATGAAGACAACTGCTAATATCTTGTCTTGCGCCTTGAAGGATTTTCTCTGTACCTTATCTTGGTCTCCCTCTCACAATTCACAAGCCTACCAAAGTTGATCTTCTTCCGCTGATTGATAAGGTGGCCGACTATCTCCCTGGTCGGAAGGCTTCTTTATTGAACAAGTCTGGTCGTTTCATCATGGTTAAAGTTGTCTTGATAGTAGTTCCCATCTATCATATGATCGCAATGGATTTACCTAAATGGATGATCAAGGCAATTGATAGATGGCACAGGGGGTCTCCTTGGTAGGGTTGGGAGAAAGCAAATGATGGAAACTGTCTCGTGTCTTGGGAACATGTCCAACGCCCCCTACAATATGGTGGTCTTGGAATTCATAACCTAGAAACTCTAGGCTGGGCCCTCGGCATTTGGTGGCTTTGGCCACAAAAAACAGATACATCACGTTCTTGGACAAGTTTGCCAATCCAAGTGCCATAAAAGGCTAGAGCTCGCTTCAATGCCGTTGTAGAAACCATAGTGGCAATGGGGAATAGTTCTGGGGAATAGTACCAGGAGCCGCTGGGGTCGAAGGCCTTCGCCAAGGAAGCGTGGGCTGCCCTCAAGGCCATGCGCGTTGGGTCTGATCACACGAAGAAGGCGAAGGCGCAGCAGCTGCGGCGGGAGTATGACAACTTGGTGTTCCGCGACGGGGAGGCGGTGGAGGATTTCTCCCTCCGGCTGTAGTTGATCGTCAGTCAGTTGGCGGCGCACAGCGTCACCGTCGACGACAAGGAGGCGGTCTCCAAGTACTTGCGCGTCGTCCCACCCAAGGATACCCAGATCGCTCTCTCCATCGAGACGATGCTTAACATGTCAACCCTCACCACTGAGCACTTGACTGGGGGCTTGCGGGCGGTGGACGACCGCACAAGGGCGACTGCAACGTCAGATAGCGGCAAGCTAGTGCTGACCGAGGAAGAGTGGATGGCCCAGATGCAGAAGCGGTCCAGAGAAGGCACTTCCAGTCGCAGCGGTGACGGCAAGCGCCACGGCAAGGCCCCGAAGAAGAAGAAGAAGGCTGAGGCGCACCTTGCGCAGGTGGACAACGATGAGCCGGTATGCCTGGCGGCGCGGCACACCGAGGAGCCGTGGCTATGGCATGCCCGGTTCAGCCATCTCAGCTTCGACGCGCTTGGATCGGCTGGAGAAGATGGTGCGTGGGCTGCCCCCACATCGAGCATGCCGGCGAGCTGTGTGACAGCAGCCTGGCGGGGAAGCAGAGGAGGCAGCCGTTTCCAAAGGCGGCCAAGTATCATGCGGCGGATTCGCTCGCGCTTGAGCTCGTCCACGGCGACCTCTGCGGGCCAATCACGCCAGCCACGCACGGCTGGCGGTGTTACTTCTTGCTGCTCGTGGACGACTGCAGCCGTTATATGTGGCTGCAGCTCCTGACGAGCAAAAACGAGGCGGCGACAGCGATCAAGCGGTTCCAGGCATGGGCTAAAGTAGTGCTGAGGATGAATCGCGGTGGCGAGTACACTTCGGTGGAATTTGCCGCGTACTGCACGAATCAAGGGGTGGTGCGCCACCACACCGCGCCTTACTCGCCACAGCACAACGGCGTGGTGGAGCGGCAGAGCCAGACGGTGGTGGGCATGGCTCGGTCCATGATGAAGGCAAAGGGCATGCCGGCAGAGTTCTTGGGAGAGGCCGTGAGCACGGCGGTGTTCATCCTCAACCGCGCTCCCACCAAGAGCCCGAATGGCATGACACCGTTCGAGGCTTGGTTCAGGAGGAAGCCCGACATCTCCTTCCTCAGGACATTGAGGTGCATCGGCCATGTCAAGAAGACGAAGCCGAACCTCACTAAGCTAGAAGATAGGAGCACTCCGATGGTGCTACTGGGCTATGAGGAGGGCAGCAAGGCCTACCGGCTGTATGATCCACGGCAACGTGGTGGTCTCGAAGGATGTGGTGTTCGATGAAATGGCGGCCTGGGATTGGAAGGATCCGGGCACGGGGAAGCCAGCGGCGTCGGCGGGACGTTCGTCATCGATCACATGGTCATCCACGCAGGCGGAGATGCTGGAGCAAAGGAGCCAGCTGTGGACGCGCCAAGTCCAGCAGTTGTGGTGGCGCCTGGTGAGCCGCCAAATCCGGTCATGGTGGGCGTGGGCGAGCAGACTCCACCAGCAGCCGCGCACACGCCTCCACCACAGTCCCCTGCTGCAGCAGGACAGGGGACACCTCCGGCAACACCGGCTGAGTTTGCCTCTCCTCCAAGCGACATCGACGAGTACGTGGACACCTTCCACGATTGCGAGGTGCGATTCCGTAGGGTGGACAACCTCGTCGGCGACATGACGGCACTAGGCCTCGCAAGTCGACTCCTCGACGATCCAGAGCTGCTCCTTGTCAGCACAGAGGAGCCGCCCATGTTCACGCAGGCCAAGCGCGACGCCAATTTACGATGGGCGATGCTGGAGGAGATGCAAGCGATTGAGGAGAACCAGACTTGGGAGCTGGTTGATCCGCCTGCATGTTGCCGGCCGATTGAGCTCAAATGAGTCTACAAGGTCAAGTGGGACGAGCGCAGGCGCCATTGTCAAGCACAACGCGCGCCTCGTTGTTCGCAGCTTCGTCCAGCGCGAGGGCATCTACTTCAAGGAGGTCTTTGCGCCGGTGGCGGGCATGGAGTCGGTCCGCTTGCTGCTGGCCATGGCAGCGGTGAAGGACCGGTGCGTGCACCATCTGGACGTCAAGTCGGTGTTCCTCAATGGCGAGCTAGCGGAGACAGTCTTCGTCAGGCAAGCTCCGGGCTTTGCCGTTGAGGGAGCTGAGCACAAGATGCTACAGCTGTGTAAGGCCCTGTACGGGCTGCGGCAAGCACCATGTGCATGGAACGCCAAGCTGGACGCCACGTTGGGCGCACTTGGGTTCGCCCGCTGCGCAACAGAGCACGCGCTCTACACGCGGCGACGGGGGAAGGAGGAGCTCGTCGTCGACGTGTCGTGGATGACTTGATCGTCACCGGAGCGCAAGCGGAGGACATCGACGGCTTCAAGCGCGAGATGGTGGCTCGTTTTCGAATGAGCGATCTCGGTCGGCTCTCCTACTACCTCGGTATCGAGGTGAAGCAGGGGAGGGACTCTCATCTCCCTAGGCCAGCGCGCCTACGCGGAGAAACTACTGGAGCGCGGCAGCATGGGGTATTGCAAGCCGTGCGCAACTCCGATGGAGGAGAGGCTAAAGCTATCGAAGCACAGCACTGCGGCGAAGATGGACGTGACACGCTACCGCACCATCGTCGGCGGGCTGTGCTACCTTACTCATACTTGGCCGAACATCACGTTCACGGTTGGGTATGTCAGTCGGATCATGGAGGATCCTTGGGAGGATCACTGGACGGCGGTGAAGCGGCTGCTGCGCTACGTCAAGGGGACGCTCGATCAGGTGATCATCTTCCCCAGGCACGGCGGCAAAAGTGGGCTGCGGCTCACAGTCTTCGGCGCGGCACCCCCCAAGACCGACGAAGGTGAGCCAGAGCTCACGGTCTTCAGCAATGTAGACTTGGCGGGCGACATCGACGGGCGGCGGAGCACCTCTAGTGTGCTCGTCTTCCTCGAATCAGCCCCGATTGCTTGGCAGTCGCTGAAGCAGAAGATCGTTGCACTGTCAACATGTGAGGCGGAGTATGTTGCAGCGGCCACCGCGGCATGCCAGGCTGCTAGGCGAGCTGACCAGCGAGGAAGCTCGCCCGCTAGCGTTGATGGTGGACAATCAGCCCGCCATCGCCCTCGCCAAGAACCCTTTCCTCCACGACCGGAGCAAGCACATCGACATCAAGTTCCATTTCCTTCGGGACTGTGTTGATGGAGGACCGAATGTCATCGAGTTCGTCGAGACCGGCCGGCAGCTCGCTGACATCTTCACCAAGTCACTCGGACGCCTTCGGTTCACGGAGCTGAGGAAGATGATTGGCATGGCTGAGGTCAAGGCATTGGGTTAGCAGCAGGATTAAGGGAAGAATTGTAAGACATAATCTGCTGCTCCCCCAATCTCTCTTTTGTTTGGTTGCTGCAGATTAAGATTGGCGGCTAGTAAGACTGGCAGCTAGTCAGCCTGCTGTCCTCTTGCTAGTACTGTAGCAAAATGGCAGTAAGCCATCTAGTCAAAATTGTACATGTAGTGGGCTGATAACAGCCATATCCTAGAGGACATAGGAGCTATCTGCCATGTCCTAGAGGACATAGTAGTAGTTTGTACCTTATATGGTACTTGTAGTTTGTACATATACTACACGTAAAGGGCAATGGAAGTTCAGCCATTCACATTTTCAGAAGCAGCCGAGCTGCTGTTGGTGTTGTGTGTGTTTGTGCTATTCTCACCTCTTCTTCAACCTCCAGCCCAGTGAGTGTGTGTGGGTGTGCTGGACTGCTGGTAAGCTTGCTGCTTACCTGTGCAGGGAGATCGAGGGCCAACAGATCAGACATGCTTATTTGTGTTTTACTCTAGTTGTGCAGCTTCTTAGAGAAGAGCTTCTCTTCTCAAACATTGCCAAAAGACCTTGCTGGTCGCTCAAGAGGAGTCTTTGCATATATGCTGGCAAGAGCTTCCTTCTCACTACCCGTAGTAGTTCTAGTAGCTAAACTAGCTAGGTTGTGTCGTTTCATAAGTTTGTAAATAGGCACTAATGTAATTTTTACACAATGTTGTGTATGGATGTGTTGATTGTTTCTCTATTAATAATGCAAAGATTCACGACTCCTCTGCAAGTTCGAGAAGAATTTAATAAATTACTGCATGGTTTTAATTAACTAGGTTTCACAATCAGGTTCTGTAATTGTTGAGTGTGTCTAAAATGCCAGAAAACTGTCTACTTTAGTGACTAATTAATTTGTACTTTCCCTTGACTCATACTCGTAAACCTCATAAGGAGTAGACAATAGAAAAAGTTTGAACCAATAGAGAATTTGCCCTTCTGATTTCTGTTAGGACCTTTCTATGAGCCGACTATTTTGTTGAAAACCAACCATCATCCTGACATGCATGCAGGTCGGCTCCTATATGATAGGATATGTTGCATGAGTGTTCAGATGCAGAGGCCACTTATCTCTTCTATGCATTATATTTAAATTATTTATTTATTTGTGAATGATGTTAAGAAAATTTTGTGATATTTACTGTTGTTGGATTATACATGGAAAGAGTTTCTGGCCACTGGCTTACACATTTTAAAGACTTTCTTGGCTCATGCCACAAGAGTGTTAGAGTGTTATTCTGTGATGGATAGGAAATAAATATTATTGCAAGATGCGGTACTTGAAGTGAAAGTGCCATTTCTATTTCTACATTACCAATACAACTTTGAAAACAAACTTCAGAGATGTAGATAAATTATGTGTCTTTCTAATAATATATGTGAATATATTGTATGTTGTAAATTTTCCAGGAAACAGGGTATTGTTTTGTTTCCCTCACCGAAGTCAATGACAATGGTAAATTAGTAAATTGCACACTACACTATCCAAATTAGCATATATTTCGCTAGACATCAGATTAGGATGGAGAAAGTACTACAAATTATAAAATTCTTGAATCAAACAGATAATTAGACAAATTTCATACCTGTTGTTGTTAAGGTGGTCTTTTTGATCCTTGGTAAGCTGGCGGCCATTTGATGTTATTGGCGACGGAATCCCAAGATTCTGGTGCATCTCCTCTAAGAGCTTCATGGGATCCTTGTGCTCAGCTGAGACCCATGTGTGTATCTTGGATTTCGTGCCTTCCTTGCTGTCGAATTTTGTGCTGACCTCGCTGTTGTACAACTCATGGGCAAGAACAGTCTTCCCCGATCCACAGAAGCCAACTATGGTGATTACCTTCAACTGCTTCAGCTCTTCTTGTTCGGACAAGTGATTTTTTAGCTCCTCCAGGGGCACCTGGAGGCCGACCAGATCTTCAGGATGGACGTAATACTCCGAGGACGACAAAGGCAGTGCACGACGGGACTCCGAGGACGACAAAGGCAGTGCAGGACGGGACACATAATATCTCTCTTTCCGCTGGTGTGCCTCCTCCAATTGCTTCCTTAATCGCCCCATCTGCTTGCCCAACTCTGTAAATGATTTTTTCTTCTTGATAGGTTTACGTATATGGTACCGCGGCAATTGCTGTTTCCAAGAAGCAAGGTATGTGATGCGATCAATGCAGTCCTCCATATCATGAGCGATTTGTCGTAATTCTTCAACCGACAAACGCAGTACATGGTCGTCCTGCCCCGAGAGCTGTCCTTCTATGGCACTAGTGATCATGGGAAGCTCCCTCCCTAGGAAAGTAGCATCATCTTGGAAGGCCTCGTACTTCTTGTTGGCCTTGTCCCATAGCGATAACAACCTAGGGACAAGAGTTTTTATTAACACGGTCAACACGGAAGCTGACGCGGTCAACACCGCAGCTTCCATTGATCTCCTGTTCAGAACTTGTTAACTGGCATTTCTTTGCTGCGAAATTGGAAATAAGAAAGTTTCCAAAAATAAAAATGTTAATAATCCACAATTTTGCCGAGCACGAAGGTAGAGCAAAGTCTTATTTCTACCCAAAGTATTTCTCAAGGAAGAACAAGAGAATTGATACAAGAAAATTGACTACAATGGGTGCCGCACTAAAACTAACAAGTGCCAGTGCCAGAACTAATATGCAAGTTATGTACAGAATTAGATCCGGTAGTTATTTTCAGATTCGTTCATTGATTTATTATACGGGGTTAGGCATTTGGGCTCCTCTGGCCTGGTTTTGATATAACTAAGATACGAATTGTCCTTGTTTAGTTTAAGAATGAATTTGTGAATTGGATCAAACCAGTTACAAACTAACAAACTTTCATCAACTCTTTTCTTACAAACTATACACTGGATCCACCACACCAATAATAGATGCAAATCGAATGGAAAAGAAAATCCAGTAACCTCACAAATTAAACATTGCCTCACAAATGTTTTGAGCAAATAATAAGATTGGAAATGTACAAATGGGCAGGGCTTCAGACGAGAGACAACATAGTAATCCAATACACCTCCGAGTGGAAAGGGAATGAAACTAGCAAACTATGATTAATACATGAACTTATTCACCCCAGAGGTCAGATCCATAATAGATCTCTATTTAAGCATACTCGATAGTGCAAGCAGAAGCCAAGGACGCACCTGCCGGCTGCGATGCTTGCTGGAGCTCACTGATAAGGCCGGAGGGGAGGTAGACGACTCTGACTGGGACTTGGGAGAGAAGCACTCATTAGAATGAAGGAGCTCTCTCATGTCAGAGCCAGGGAGCTCTTTCCGACTTCCATTGTTTCTATGCCTCGCTTCTTTTTTTTCTTTTCTTTTGTAGGTCAAGTCTTGCTCCTTTGTCCTTTCTGCTCCTTAAATGATTGGCATTTTGTTTGTTAGACTATTCAAAGTTGCCGGCCACGTCGACACCGATAGTATACATATATTTCAATTATACGAGGCGCTTAAGCGTTTCTACCCTTTTTTTAAGCGAAATGATGCTTTTGTTCTCATTTTTTTAACTTTATGATTTTATCCTAGAAATTTCAAAACGAAGGTAGATTTTACCCTGCTCTGTGAAGTCTCTCTAACGATGTTAACTTTAGGACCAAATGACAACTTTGCTCATGCGTTTTTACCCATGTTTTATTTTGATATTTGTGTTTTTACCCCTATTTTCATATCAGCAATTTAGCAATTTTGATACATAATTGTACAATTCAATCAGTGCAAAACTCAACAAGTTTTAGATATTTGTTTTTTTTTAAGAAACAGGAGGGGCCTGTGCCCCTACTGAATTTATTAAAAAAACCAGGAAACAAAAAGTACAAGCAAAAAGTCTAGGCTTACAAACAGGGAGTTCAAGAGACAAAAAAAAAAGGAAGTAAAGAAGATGAGCTCAATTACACAAATTGATCTAGCCATGTACTAATAAGAGGTAGATATTTTTTCTTCGCGCGAAGGATAACTAAGCCGAAGACGTTCTTCAAGACATGCCTGCATTTCTGAATGGTTGCTTCCTCACCCCTGAAAATTAAACCATTTCTCACTGTCCAAATGCTCCATCACATAATGATGATTATTATTTCCATAAAGAAGAAGACGTTGAGCTGAGCTCTGAAAGACTCCAGGATCTGGAATGATCCTTAGTCCTAGGGGACAGTTAAACCAACCAAGTTCCAGCAGGCTTTTGCAAAATCACAGTGCAGGAATAAATGGGTCCACTACCTCTTCTACCAAACAATCACAAAGAACACAATCAAAGGATTCCAGATGTATACTCTTTCTTCTCAGTAAGTTCCTCGTGCTGAGTCTGTCCTGTGCTAGGAGCCAAAAGAATACCTTATGCTTATATTAAGGCAGGAAGATTTTCATATCCATCTGAAGACCAGATGCTTTTTAGATATTTGTTTTGGGATATGTCAGTTACAACAGGAAAAAAAGAAAGAAAACAGAGCATATTATCTTCATGCTTGCTTGTCTTGGCTCATCCAAAATCAAGTACTCTCTCCGTCCACAAAAAAATACAATTCTCATATCCTAAGGAGTCAAATAATTCAAACTTTGACTAGAATTATATAAAAAAGTACTGACACTCATGAAACAAAATAAGTATCATTATATTAGTTATAGAATATATTTTTATAATAAATTTATTTACAGATTTAAATGTTAATATTATTTTATATAAACTCAGTCAAATGTCTTGTTTAGATTGAAACTTTTTTCAACCTAATGAATAGTACCACTTTCGTTTTATTTGGTAAATATTGTCTAATCGTGGACCAACTAGGCTCAAAAGATTCATCTCGTGATTTCCAACTAAACTATGTAATTAGTTATTTTTTTACCTATATTTAATACTCCATGCAAATGGCTAAAAATTGATGTGATAGAGAGAGAGTGAAAAAACTTGGAACTTTGATGGGATCTAAACAAAGCCAAACTTGAACTAATTTGACTGGCACGCTTCGCATGATTGCGTGGACAGATACTACCAAATAGCAGTAGCAAGCAAAAGCTGCATAGTCAAATAGAATCCGCATGCGTCGGCGTGGGTCGCATCCGCATGCGGCGCGGTGTCAGCGGAGGAGCAGAGCGTCAGCGTGGGTCGCATCCGCACGCGGCGCGGCGAGCAGCAGAATGGAGTAACAGCTTCCATCAATTGTCCGGACCTTGATCCAGAAGCCATCGATTGCGTGTTGATGCGCCCAGGGGTGAAGCCCAGTTATTGACCAGATGCACCACCCTGATTTTTTTTAAGTTATAGTACTTAGATTTTGACCTTTTATACACCCCCAAAGTTCAATAGACTGCACCTCCCCTACAGCCCAGCGGCCCAACCTGCAACTTGGATTAAGGAAGGCCAGGAACTGCAAGATCGATTGTTTCTGGTAACCTCCGGCTGTTATTGTGATAAGTCGTTTCATCTTTCGTCGTTCCGTTTCAGCAAGTCCGCGTCGTTCCGTCCTCTCGGCTTCTAGCTTCTGCAGGCCCGCGCGCCCTTGCCTCGCTCTTGCGCATCCAGGTCTTGTTTAGATTGAAAGTTTTTTCAACCTGACGAATAGTATCACTTTCGTTTTATTTGGCAAATATTGTCCAATCGTGGACCAATTAGGCTCAAAAGATTCATCTCGTGATTTCCAACTAAACTGTATAATTAGTTATTTTTTTACCTACATTTAATATTCCATGCAAGCAGCTAAAGATTGATGTGATGGAGAGAGAGTGAAAAAACTTGGAATTTAGAGGTGATCTAAACAAGACCCCAGCAAAGGTTGCCATCACGGCGTCACCTGGAGGCCGACTACTCTGCAGGCCACAGCTATCCAGCTACGAACCTAGGACCGGCTCCGTCGCTGGAGTGCTCTGGCTACCCAACAGACCAACACCCAACAAGCATCAAGGATTTAAGCCGGTATGAAACTAAATTAGATGCTCCCATGCAGCCATGCTTTTTTTGTCTTTCTTAATTAATCTGATTTTATGTACAAATTACGGGGTGTTTAGTTCGCGAAATGAAAATATTTGGATGTCACGTCGGATGTGTCGAAAGGATGTCGGGAGGGGTTTTTGGATACTAATAAAAAAGCAAATTACAGAACCCATCAGGAAACTGCGAGACGAATCTAATGATACTAAGTAATAGGTCATTAGCACATATGGGTTACTGTAGCACTTAGGCTTTTCATGGACTAATTAGGCTTAAAAGATTCGTCTCGCGATTTTGCCGAGAACTGTGCAATTAGTTTTTTTTCATCTACATTTAGTACTCAATGCATGTGCCGCAAGATTCGTTGTGATGTTTTGGGGTGAAATTTTTTGGAAACTAAACATGGCCTTATGTCCCTTTGGAATACAAGATTTTTTTCCGTTCCTACATTTTTCCTCTGAAATTATTATACACTTTCTACGAAATTTCTGTGTTCCAAGGCGGGCATAAATCTATAAATGGTTATTGTTTTACTTTTTACAATGGTCTACAGTGTTAGGCTAGCTATTTGTGTTTGAGTATAAATTTATATGTTTTTTTATTAGGCTGATGGAACGGTTTTCCGTCCAAAACAAAAACACCAAGGCCATGTTTAGTTTGCCAGAATCGGCGCCGCCAAATGTACTGTAAGTACACTGTAGCATTTTGTTTTTATTTGTTAATAATTGTCCAATCATTGACTAATTAGGCTCAAAACGTTCGTCTCGCAAAGTACAACCAAATTGTGTAATTAGTTTTTGATTTCGTCAACATTTAGTACTCCATGCATGTACCGCAAGTTTGATATGACGGGGAATCTTCTTTTTGCATAGTGCCAAAGTTTGGATTTTGAAGTGAACTAAACATGGCCCAAAGCCTGATAGTGCCAATAATGCCGAGAATTACAAGCAAGCATTCTCAGAGAATGGTGGAGACTAAAAACGTGATAGATAGTTGAGAGGATTTTTTTCGGGCATAATGATTGTGAAAACAACTTTACGCAATCACATTGGTGAGAAATTTATGAATAATTGCCTTATTTGCCACGTGGAGAAAGAAGAGATGACGAAAGTAAAAAATAACACCATGGTTCGTCGTTTCGAAAATGTAAGGACGTAGATTTCTTAATCACTCGGTTTTTTAGTCGCACCCCCCTCAATTTTCTTCTAGCTTCGCCACTGGATGCGCCGCCGTGGGTGGGAAAGCAGCTATGGCTCCGGCAGCGAGGCACATCCGAGGCAAGCGGCTGCAGCTTCGGCGGCGCGGCACATCTGAGGCGAGTGGCTGCTACTCCGACGATGCGGCGCATCCAAGGCGAGCGGCTGCCGCGGCGGCGATGTGGCGCCTCCGAGGCCGAGCAGCTGCTGCTCCGGCTCCGGTGACCCAACGCGTAAAATAGAAGGTCTGGGAAACCGTGCGACGTCCCAGCCGCCACGGGCGCGAG